GGAGGCTGAGGGGACCCTCTGAGCTGCTCTGCAGGTCAAGGGATTTTTCAAAGGATTATGGAGATTTAATAATAGAGCCAGGCATCTGGGTTCTGGTGAACCCAAGGGTGAGTGACATATGGTTTCTCTTTCCTGGGGCATGTGGATCCTGGTCCTGGTGAGTTATCTTTTATAAAAATAATTCACTAAAATATTGTGAGCAGGAAAAAAGCTGTCTCCAGCTATTTCCTTGACTTAGAAGACATCTACACACACATACGCTCACACACATCCAGGGTTACACAGACCTCTTTGCCTGCAGCAGCATCCCTGTGTTTGGATGGTCCACTGACTCAACGCTCCTTGGGCAGATACGAGGAGATGCATATGTTTTACTTTTTTTAAAGCTGATATAGAAACTATTTCGATCAAATATAAATGCAAATCTAATTGCAGGGACATTTACATAATTGCTGACATAGACTCAGGTGGTTCACGAGTTAATGATCTGAACCACTGTTACAATTGACTCTCTGGATGGACAATTACACTTTTGCACCAGCATGGAACCAGGCCAAAGCTGTGTATCTGCACTCTAGGGAGTGGCTGTAGAGCACCTGCTTCTGAGCTGGCCAAAGGAAGTGCCCCAGGTTGGGACCCCAGCAGCACTAGGGGACCCCCTTTGAAGACCCTGAAACACATCCTCACACTCTGAGTTCACGTCAGTGCAATTTAATTTGATTTGATTAAATTTGTTTCCATATGATTTCAATTTAATTTAACTTGTCAATTTAGTTCAATAAATATATATCAAGTTCCTACTGTGTGCAAGGCCATGGGAGCTACACAAATGAAATGGAAAAGGATTCCTGCTTTTACGAGTAAGGGAGGATGAGATAACTTAGCTCAAAAATAGCCACGAGTTTGTTGGCTCTACCTTCAGAGTATATCCGGAAGCCATCTGCTGCTCTCCATTTCACTCCTACCCGGTCCAAGCCAATATCCTCTCCCTCCTGGACTATGACATCTAGGCCCTGCTCCTGCCTTCCCCCTCCCTCCTGCAATCCACTGTGCACTCAGCAGTCAGAGTGACCTTTAAAAAATGTCAATCAGATCCTGTTCCTCCTCTGCTGGAAAATCGTGGCTTCTTATCACACTTAAGATTATTCAAAGTTAGGTCTTTGGAAGGAAATCCAAATTCTTTCATGTGGCCTGTTTGGTTGGACATGATCTGAACCTTGGTGACCTCTCTGACATTATCACATTCTACCTTAACCTTAGGAAACTCAGCTCTAGCAGTGTCTGCCTTAGTTTGTTTCTAGAACCACACGCCACACTCGTTCCTTGCACTTGCTGTCTCCTTTGCCTGGAGTGCGCTTCCGCTGGATGTTTACAGTGACTTTGTCTTGACTTTAGGTCTCTTCCCAACGTCCGGAGAGGACTTCTGGGCTGCAGTTCCAAGCATCTCCATGCCCTGCCTCTCAATCACTTCATCCTGCTCATTTCTTTCAGGTCACACAACACAATTTGTAATTACTTAATTATTTATTTCTTTATTGTCTATCTGCTCCACTGGAAGAGGGCCGAGACCCTGCTCACTCCTCTATTCTCCAACTACAAGTGCAGCACCTGGCATATAGTAGACATCAGGTTTAAATGTCTTGAGTGAGTGAACACAGGAATTCACGTTATTCTATGGGGGAAGATGGGGAAAGTGCCACAGGAGAAACAGAGA